TGCAAGTTAATACTAGTTTCTCAAGGGTTTAGTCAGGTCACATGTTCTGATCACATTCTTGTCTTTCTGAGTTAGGGTAAAGCTGAACATTTTTTTTACCAGGCACTTGTTTCCCAGTAGGAATTTGGAAATGTGCTATTGGTTTCTGGTCTTTTGTGGGTTTTTTTTTTTAAGTTCCTGTACTGCATGTTTTAGCAGCTGTTAAGTCTCAAACAGATGGTCAAGTGTTTAGAAAAGTCTGAGTACTGCATTAGTATGTTTGTTTGTGTGTTGTGTAGCGCTTTTGACAACAGAAGGCTTAAATAATGTTTAGGTCAGCGCAAATTTTCTAGTTTCGAATATACACAGAAACAGCTGTTTTGTTCCAGTTAATAATTTATCTGGGTTAATAATCCAGTTAATAACTGTCAGCTAGAGTCCCAGCTGGGTCAGGTGGCATTTCTGTGTGGAGTTTGCATGTTCTCCCTGTGTTTTGCTTGGGTTTTCTCTAGGTCAGTGGTTCTCAAACTTTTTTTTACCAAGTACCATCTCAGAAAAAAATTGTCTCTCCAAGTACCACCATAATGAGCTGTATTGAAATATAGTAGGGTTGTAGGCCTATAAGCAGCTACAGCTGTGCACAGTTCAAAAACGAGGCAGATTAATTCCTATTATTAAGAATATGTATTTTTGTCAGCCACTTTAAACATTATAAATAGTTTGAACAATAACTGCTTGCAGGTAAAAACAAACAAACAAACAAACAAACAAACTAAAAAAAAGGTTTAAATTACTCTTGCTCTAGCATAGACATCTCTATAGTGAAAACATCCGAGAAGCATTATTCCAATGAAACATTTGTTTTTAAGTAGTTTTTTCTGTCACTGCAACACAGAAATGCCTTAGTCCCGCCCTTAGGTTTTATGCAAAACTAGACAAGGTCGACTGTGATTGGCCACTTTTCATGTCAGTCACATCACTGCTTCGGAAACTGATTTTTAGCAGCTTATGACACAATGCACTAAAATAAACATTCTAAGCACAGCGCTGTGCTCGTACGCTTCAGGCAACACCCAATGTTGATCACATCACTATTATCGTACTTATCAAAGGATTAAAAGTGTAAATTTTTTCTTTCATTATCCAGCAATTCCTCCGCGTACCACTAGGAGGAATCCAGCATACCACTAGTGGTACGTGTGCCACAGTTTGACAATTTCCCCCACAGTCCAAAGACATGCAGTAAAGGTGATTTGAATAAACTAAATTGGCTGTAGTGTATGTGTGTGAGTGTGAGAGTGTATGGGTGTTTCCCAGTACTCGGTTACAGCTGGAAGGGCATCCGCTGTGTAAAACCTATGCTGGATAAGTTGCGGGTTCTTTCCACTGTGGCGACTCCTGGTGAATAAGGAACTAAGCCGAAAGAAAATGAATGAATGAATTTTGAATGGTTAAATGAAGTGAATAAAGTAAGCTCCCGAAGCATAATGAACAGGTCTTAAATACACAGCTACAATCTGTTTTGTTTGTTACACCACATATGTGAAGATCCATATTAGTTGGATAAAAATGAGGCTGTGTGTTTACATGCACAAAGCTTATCCATGATGCTAAATGATTTATATCCATTGGTTTATTTGGCAAACATATTTGTAATGCCTCAAATCAGGTCAAATTTGTGACTAGTTTCGAGCACATTGACCAACTGATACCATTGTAATTTGTACATTTGTAAGAAATGTTATCAGTAGTTTGCAGAACAACAAAAAAAATAGGTCCCACTTCATTAGTTAATTAGTTAAGTGGCCTTAACTACCAGGTACTTGCTTAAAAAAATAAGTACAATGTACTTATTGTGTTTATTATGTATTAGAGAACACTCATGGTGCTACTGAGGTGGGGTACTGATAAGGTTAGGGACAGTTTTGGTGGTATGGATTTAAGGTGGGTTAAGGTGCACTGTAAAAAAAAAATGCTGGGTTTCACACACTTTTTTATGCTGTCCCAACAGAAATTTATTAAAATAACTCAATCGTTTTTTACACATTTAGGTGGATTTAAAATAAAACAATTAGGCTTAAACAATTCAACTTAAAGATTGTTTCAACTCATTTTGAGTAAGCGGTTTAAAAAATAAATAAAATGTTAGCACATAATTTAATTTATTAAAGATATAATCACATGCAGATTTATAAGATTATTATTTATAGATTTTATTTTATGTAAAAAAGTGCATTGTACTAAATTATTTAAGTACATTAAGGCCACATTAAGGCCACTTAATATAAAGTGGGACCAAAAACAATATATTACTCAAACAGATAACTATCAATTTTTTTGTAAACACAATAACAAAAAAGGTTTTAAAAGGGTTAATCCAAAAAAATTAATTTCTGTCATTAATTATGTACTCTCATGTCATCAGTGGGCATAGACCTGTACAAGATTCTGAAGGTATGATAACCTTGGATGAAAATATCATGGGTTCACGGTGTTGTGATTACTGCTCCAAAATAAGTAATATTAAAATGTCTGGGTAAAAAGGAACGTTTTCACCCCATTGAACACAATATATTTTATTTTTGGAAACCTTTAAAATATTTTGGACCAGTAGCTTTTGATGTAGAGTTTTTTTTCTGTTGAATATACTTTTGCCCTAAAAACTAAATAAAATAGTTTTAAAAAAGAAACCTGCATATATCTTAGTAACAGTATAACAGAAGGTTTGACGCTTTTAAAACCATGTCTTTTCTAAACCATGGTAAACCGATTATTGTCCCATGCCATCAGACCACCATTCACACTAATTAAGATATTATAGGTGAAATCAGAGAGAGCTCCCTCATCCTCCATAGACTGCCATGTTCAAATTGTTCAGTTGTCCAGAAAAATACCAAAAAATTCTCAAAACAGACCATAGGCCCTCTGTGGTTTAATCTGAATATTCTGAAGCTAAGAGAAGCTACTTTTGTGGGCACATAAAACAAAAATAACTTTATTTAACAGTTTCTTATCCTCAGTGTCAGTATAGGGTGCACATTTATGAGAAAACAATATTGATTGGACAACCCTCATTTTCCGTCACAATAAATGAAAATAGTAGACATTTTCTGAGGTTATAATAATGCTACAAAATGACATTATTTTTGTTATCAATGACTTTTGCTGCTTGTTCAGACTAACTATTTAACATGAGTTGAAAGACACAAGTGTTTTTGGACAACTTAATTGTTTTATGTTAAATCTTTGTATATTTGACAAAACAATCAAGTTAACTTAATCGATTTGTGTTGGTACATCATGAAGGAACTGTGTGACCCAGCATGTTTTACAGTGAAATATTAAAATTTTACTTAACCAAATACACTTAGCTAGTAAATCAGTTTTCAAAATGTCTCTTATTTTTGCCCACACATTTTGTTTAGCACACTTATCAACATTTGACACGCTTTTATTAATGCACTGCAGTTTGCGATGCACTAATAGTCATTTTGCATACTGTTTATTTATTTCACCTATTATAATGGACAGTCAGTCTGCAAATAGCAACATGATGCAGCATCTTTTCGAAAGTAAAAGTTGCAAAGTATTATGGGAAGAAAGACGTTTGTGCATGCAATCTGCCTGGGTGTTCTGCCCTATTTATAAACTGAATTTTCAGCCTCACTGAATGCTGATGGCAGCCCATTCTTCTTTCACAGTGCCAGTGGGGTTTTGAGCGGACAGCCTGTCTGGCAAAGAACAACTTGTCATGTCTCATGTTCTTGTATGCCACACTGCTGAGTAATATCTGCAGAAATACAAACAACAGCTGTTTATTATTCTGTTAGCTAGGCTTTAGTTCACCCCAAAAATGAGAGTTCTGTCATTTACTCACCCAAATAATGATATGGTAAGACTTTTTATGTCCATAATTCATACACATTGGAAGTTGTTTGGTTCCGCATAGTAAAGTAAAGCATGCATGTTTGGAATAGCATACATTTGTGTTTTTGGGTGAACTCTCCCTTTAACGAATGCTTGAGCAACACGCATATGGGTTACAGACTTCCTGTATTGTGAAAACGATGTATTGAACTCAGTAGATTTCGTGGTCAGTTCCTGATTTACCAATTTGCTGGTATGTAGTGTGTTTTTAGCTGTGTGTAAATATGATTTCATAGAATTTTAATGATTCCTCATTAGATGTGACCCCATTATAGTGATGTGGTTTAAAGGGCACCTAGTTTGCCCCCTTTTTAAGATTTAAGATTAACATTATGGTTCTTCTGAGTGTAGGTTTAGGTTCACAGTTGGCATTTCTGTGTGGAGTTTGCATGTTCTCCCTGTGTTGGCGTCGGTGCTCCGGTTTCCCCCACAGTCCAAAGACATGTACTATACAGTAGGTGAATTGAATAAGCTAATTTGGCTGTAGTGTATGTGTGTTAATGTGAGTGTGTATGGATATTTCCTAGTACTGGGTTGCAGCTGGAAGGGTATTCGCTGTGTAAAACATATGCTGGATAAGTCGGTGGTTCATTCCGCCGTGGCGACCCCTGATTAATATAGGGACTAAGCTGAAGGAAAATTATTGAATTAATTTATTTACATTTTATTATTTAAATATTTATAAAATAAATTCCATCTAGTATTTGTTTTATTTCAGACTCATTGCAATTAACCAAATGCTTGACGTCATTTTTATTTCTATGTTATTGTTTTATCATAACAACCCTTCAAAGGTCACATATATAGTTCAGCAGAAAAGTTGACTCAGCTTAAAATTGTAAGGCAACTTGCTTTTTTGAGTTGACTCAACTTCTAACCTAAGGACTGCACTTGACTCAATTAAGTTGAGTCAACTGAAGAAAGCTCTGCAGCAATTTGCCTTAAATTTTATGTTGAGTCAACTTTTTTACAGTGCATAAATTAATAATAATAATAATTGTGACTGTAACAGAACCAAGTATTTCTAAGAGCCAGGATGTAACATGATGTTTTTCATTTTTTGATCTCTTTCAGGTTGTGTGTGGCAAAGTGTGATGATGGGAGTTAGGAGTGTGTGCTGTTTTTTACTCATCTCTCTGCTAAAGTCTTCCTCTGCTCACAGCGACTTCTTCACTTCCATTGGTATTCAAACGTTTTTATCAATCAAAGTTTGAAATGTTACTACTGACTGGTTCTAAGAGGGAACATACACTCACCGGTCACTTTATTAGGTACACCTGACTAGTATCGGGTTGGACCCACTTTTGCCTTCTGAACTGCCTTAATCCTTCGTGGCATGGATTCAACAAGGTACTGGAAATATTCATTAGAAAGTTTGGTCCATATTAACATGATAGTGTGGGAATATACATTTATATTATCTATATATAACTGAAATGTTGTTTTCAGGGTGTGACAGACCTTAAAATGTCTTGGTTTCCTGAGCCCTGACGATCTCTAAAGTAATGCAAATTATCAGTTTCACAGCACGCCTGTATCTGTTGTCTTCTCTGTCTCCAGAACATCATTTGCACTCTGTTTTAATGCTAAAATGTATCGTTAATGGGTACTTATGTGCTGATGAGATTGGGCCTGGAAAGGCATGTTACCCTGCCGACAACAACACTTCATTTGGATGCTTTGTTTGACTGTCCCCACCATGACTGTCCCCACCTACATATCAAATGTATTTAAACTGAGTGTCTGTTGTGCCAATTGAGAGTTTTGACGCCATGACGCCACAGCCACGCTGAGTTCTTCTTATTAAAAGCATTCTGTTTTGAAGAGACCGAAAATTCTCCCTGGTTTTTTGGGCTCGTCTTAGAATTTCACAACAGTTTGGTGCCGTGAGCCAGACTAGAGAAATTCCACATCCCAAAGTTTTTGTGCTAACAAAACTGACACTCACTGGATATTTTCTCTGTAAACCCTAGAGATGGTGTGCATGAAAATCCCAGTTGATCAGCAGTTTCTAAAACACTCAGACCAGGGGTCCGTTCTTCGTGGATTATTACTTGGTTAGCTGGATTTGGTTATTGACGATTTGACAAGATCCAGGATCATTTCGATCTTCAAAACTAATCCGAGAGTTGTTGTCATAACAACAGTTCTGGTAGCTCAAACCTGCTAGGGGGCAGGCTTATTTCTAAACAGGCTTAGATCGAGTCAGTTCAAGCAAAGGTAATACAGAAAGTATGTGTAGGAATGCTGATATTTTCTTATATTAGTACCTGTAGTTATATACACTTGGGAAAATAGTAAATATATATATTTTCAAACATATATATTTTATAAGTTAAAATATATATTCATAAAACTTATGAGGGATAAAAGAACAAAGACTGCCACCTGGTGGTTCAAATAGAAAATGTATTGATTTTAGAACTTTTTAGATCGCTTTAGTACAATTAGTGTATGATAATAGACATGCGCAATATGTGACTTTTTTTAAAAAAAGCAATAATACATTTATGCAGTCATGAACATGTTTTGACAGTTAATATGATGGTGATTTGATGCTTTACAAATGTTGCAGACACCTTTTACCTACATCAAAATGCTTTCAGTTGTTCTTTACACTGATCAAAAAACCGGCTACTATAATACAACTATGGCTACTATAATAAAGAAAATCCGCTCTAACTGTAAAACTAAATAAATTGTTAAATAGCCTACTCTTGACACATGAAAGCGTAAAGCATCTAGCCCACAGCAAAGGTGTAAAGTTATTGCGTATCATATTTAACAAACCCTTTACTGCTAATTTTATGTAATTTTGCTCACATGGATAATTGAATATCAATCAGATGATGTCATTACGCTGCTGTGCCGTCAGCCAATCGTTGCATTGCTGATCATGATTTCAAGGATCGATAGATCTGTCCTTCACAACACACACAGCTATCTCAGATCAGTTCATCCAGACATTTTAATCTGATTTACGATCTTGTTTGAAGAACCAAATTAGCCAGAGATCAGTCATCAAGATTAAAAGATCCAGGATCTCTCAGATCATCCAAAGAACAGACCCCAGCTTGTCTGCCACCAACAACCATGTCACGTTGAAAGTCACTTAAATCACTTCTCTTGCCCATTCTGATGCTCGGTTTGAACAGCAGCAGATCGCCTTGACCATGTCCACATGCTGATTAGAAATTTGGGTTATTGAGCAGTTATACAGGTGTACCTAATAAAATGGCCGGTGAGTGTACAGTAATCCTCTAAATCCTTGTGTTGATGATCATTTCTCACTGGTTTTACATCAGATCAGGAGAACTACACCGATTATTTACTAATCACTGATTCTCATGTTGTGTTTTTTTTTTTTTCAGGTCATATGACAGATCTGTTGTTCACAGAAAAAGACCTGGTGACATCATTGAAAGACTACATTAAAGCAGAGGAGAGCAAACTAGAGCAAGTTAAACAGTGAGTAACATTCATTGTTACGATATTAACAAGTAAAACTCATGTTTGAATTTGCAGCGATGAAGCTCTAATATTGTAAATTGTTAATAATACACATCTCCAGATCTTTTTGCTATGGTTTAGATTTCATTTGATCATAATAGTAACTGTCAAAAATTCTGACAATAGTGATATCTATGTGGTGTAACCATGTGAGTGTTTTGTTCAGATACTTTTTAGGGTAGGGCTGCACTATTCAAAAATAAAACAAAATTTTGATTTATTTGATCGAAATTGCGATTTGCGATTTAAAATGCGATTTACTATCATTTTTATAAATGTTAGATGTGGTGGTTTTAACAGCACCTAAGAAAGACCAAGCAAGCATAATCACAAAGTTTGCTACACTTTGCTAATGTTTACTTAAAACCATTTTTCCATTAAAGTTGTTATGACAAATAAAGAAAATAACTACAGTATCTTAAAATCAATTTAATAAATTATACCTTATTTATATATATATATTTTTTTTAAATAATATTTAAAATATATATTTAAAAAATGTAATAAAATTCAAAGGGGGCTAATAATTCTGACTTCAACTGTATAAATTTGTATATTCAGTAAAAAATATTGTAGCATAATTTAAATACTTAACATCATCCATTCTACATTGTATTATTGTTATTCATTTTTTGGACTTTTTTTTTGTTTGTTTTTAATACAGCCTTAGATGAGCATCTTACTTTGAATAAGCTGTATATGGTTGAGTCGGAGTCTGACGGAGTCTTTGTATTGTCAGGTGGGCAGAGAAGCTTGATGCTTTAACAGCCACAGCCGTCCAGGACCCAGAGGGCTTTTTGGGTCATCCTGTCAATGCCTTTAAACTCATGAAGAGACTAAACACAGAATGGGGTGAAGTGGAAGATCTAGTGCTCAAGGACATGTCTGATGGTTAGTATCACTGCAATCAGGGCTTGACATTAACTTTTTTGATCACCTGCCACTGTGGCTAGTAGTTTTCCAACATTACTATCCACTCGCCATTTTTAGTAGCCACAATTTTGTTGTTGGGAAAATATATTTTATACACATAAATATAACTTTGACATGCTAAAATTACTTGATTTAGATTTCATTCTTGGTCACATGGAATTCCTTTAGGGCGAAGCTATCGGTGGATGTCTTATTTCTGCTCTGAATTTGACCTTTCGTCAATTTTAAACAATCCAATTGGTTCTCAAAGAGCAAAATTATGCACAGCCTTACATTTTTGTCAAATTTCAGGACCGTTACAAGTGAATATACGTCACGATAGCGGAAAAAAGCAAATAAATTAATAAATAATAGAATTGTGGGTTAACTTTCCCTTTAGTTTGAAGCATGTATGTAGGGTTTGGATCATTTTAGTGCATATTTTATGTGAAATTATAGCTGTACCAAACTAAAAGTTAGTAAAAAAGAGCTATGTGAAGAGTTTGAAAAAGAGAACTACAGCACGTACTGAGAAATGTGTCCTACTTTACTGATCTAACAATGCTACAAGATTTTCTTCTTAAAGATATGTTTTTTCTTATAAAAAGCTAAAAACATTTTCTTTTAGGCTTTATCTCAAACCTGACCATTCAGCGCCAGTACTTCCCCAATGATGAAGACCAGAACGGTGCAGCGAAAGCCCTCCTCCGACTGCAGGACACATATAAACTGGACACACAGACCATCTCTTCTGGAGACCTGCCTGGTAAGAGTTACTATTATATTTGTTTGTCTCTTTCCCAACCATGTTTGTAACGAGGAGACTGACACGGAGGGATCCATTATGCAGCATTTATTAATCAAGCTCTCACTCAAACACACAATATGCACCAAAGTGCAAACTCACATAAACAATAGTATGAAATGTTTCAAGGCTGGCGGTAAACAGACACAGAGGGATTTACCAGGCATGGGTCAACGGCAGGCTGCGAGAATCAGAGTCCGTGAATCAGGCTTGGATCGTGGGCAGGTAGCGAGTATCAGAGTCCATATATCAGGCTTGGGTCATGGGCAGGCAGAAGGCGAAGCAGAGTCAGAAACAGGCTGGAGTTATACACGAGAGATCAGGCAGGGAATACCGCTCAGTAATGCTGGCCGGGGCTAAACAAGACTTCGCACTGACTGAGTGTTTGTGTGTGGCTTATAAAGGGTACGTGGGTCGTTAGCTAGATTCAGGACAGGTGTGTGCACAATCAGCGTAAGTGGATGATGTAATGCTAGAAGTCCGGAGATGGCGGCCTCTGCTGGGCAGCGAGGGGAGTGACTGGGACCGAGTCGGTGACAATGTTACAGACCTGCCTTCTTCTTTGCAGTTGGATCTCATGGCCAGTGTTGGGTGTAATTCGTTACTGGGTTAATTAGTTGGGTTATTTACTTAAGTCAAACCAGTTATTGTAATTAAAAAGGGATTACTTTTTTGTTAATGTAATTTAGTTATGATGTACTTCCCTTGAATATTGTGAATATCTTCAACAGTTCTGGATTTAAAAGTTCAGAGAAGCAGCGTAACAAAAAACAAATATATTTTGGAGAATATTTCTATTTTTCAGTAATTGAGAAAGGAATGACACTGTGGCTCAGTGGTTAGCACTGTCGCCTCACAGGGAGAAGGTTGCTGATTCAAATCCAGCCTGGGTCAGTTGGCATTTCTGTATAGAGTTTGCATGTTCTCCCTGTGTTGGTGTGGGTTTCCTCCGGGTGCTGCGGTTTTCCCCACAGTCCAAAGACTTGCGCCATAGCTGAATTGAACAAACTAAATTGGCCGTAGTGTGTGTATGTGGGTGTGTATTGGTGTTTCCCAGTACTGGGCTGCAACTGGAAGGTCATCCGCTGTGTAAAACATATGCTGACGGGTGTGACAACCCCTGACAAATAAAGAGACTAAGCCAAAAGAAAATGAATGAATGTATGAATGAATATTTATTGTTGTTTAAGTGTTAAATTTTTTTTTATTAAAATATCCTGGCTCAAATGTAAATATTAATTTGGCTCAAATGTAAATACTTAAAAACTTTTATTTTCAGTTGTCTATGCCTTTAGATTTATTGGGATTTTAAATAGTATCGAGTATCGTATCAAGTAATTATCGAGTAATACTATCGTATCGAGTAATAGTATCGTATCGAGTAATAGTATCGTATCGAGTAATAGTATTAAGTAATTATTGAGCATTTCAGTTACTTTTCAGACAGAGTAAATAAAAAAGTAATTTCAATAAAACTTGAATGATGTAATCAGTAATCATAGATATTTACATTAGATGTTGTCTACGCTGTGGTTGTCTATTGGAAGTTATGTGTCAATGGAGCTGCTATTTTAGTACAGGATATCACTCCTATAAAATGAATGTGGGACCAAGGTGAATTGGAGGACTGGCCATCCAGAACCAGAGATATATATACACATATATACATACAGTATATCTATGATGGGGAGTTTTCCCAGTGGTCAGTTTGCAAATATTTTTTAAATTATACAAATTATAATTTTATAACAATGTTCTACATCGATGGATGAGCGACCGCACGGGCATTCCTGACAAAGAGCATGTGTTTATGTGCATGGAAATGTATCATTTTTCCTCCCTGTTACATTTGATCTAATCTGTGTCCTGAAACACACCCCCTCTCCTTCTTTTAATTCTAATTCTAATGGAGGGAGCGACTCCTCGTTATGAACAATTCGTGTAAACTTTCGATATCCCTGCATCTTAATATGCATATTCACCTTTCTGATCTAAATGGTATATAACATTTATAATATTCAATAAATTAGGGTGGACAATCACAGTATGCTCATGATCAGTGCAGTAAGTTACTGTAGTATCATCAATAACTTTACTTGTTAATCACAAAAGTTCGTAACATATAAAAACGTTAAAAAAACAATATCTTACCTATGAAATGTTCTGCCTTTATGCTTTGCTTTGTTTGTTTGCTCGTTACTACACCCGTTTGCACCTGTTTCAACTAGTGCGATTGAATATGCGACATCCAGTGTATACATCTATCAGTAATTAATGACTTTTAAGTAACTTACTTTTTTTTTGCAGGTGTTAATACAGGTCTGCCATATAAAAGCACCCTGACGGTAGAGGACTGTTTTGAACTAGGAAAAATTGCCTACTCTGACGCAGACTACTATCACACGGAGCTGTGGATGGCCCAGGCGCTCAAGCAGCTGGATGAAGGAGAAGAATCCAGCGTTGAGATTGCCACCGCTCTGGATTACCTCAGTTACTCTGTCTACCAACAGGGGGAGCTGGAGAGAGCTCTGGAATATACTAAGAGACTGCTTACTGTGGGTAAGTCTGCTCTATTTAAAGGGTCATGAAACCCCCCTGTTTCAGCAGGGTATTTTCACATCTCTACTTTGGAAAAAGTCAGGACATGCCCACCTCTGTTTAGGGGGGAGTTTTGGAGGAGCAAAAAAGGGGGAAGGTCTGTAAAAATTTGCATAAAAATGGGAGTGTCGGTTTCGGCACGCGCTGATTTTCACAGAGGCAAAACAAACACACACACATGGGAGAAAGACAGTGATTGTGTTTACATGGACATCTGTAGTCTAATTATTTGACAAATTATTAAATGGTGGACTTTAACTGCAGTTTGGCACTTTCATTCAGAAATTTCATTCATGCCTCTCGTGACAAACAAGATATTTGATACGAGGAACTGCTCTAAGTGTTTATTTTCCGTGCAATGTTTGTTACTGCAAGGCAAATGAGAGAAAAAACTCTGCATTTCTCGAAAACTTAGATACACTCAATAGGTAGCATCAGAAAGCCATCTGAGTGATTCCTGTCACAAAATGCGGCGAAAATCCTCCACGACGAAAATAGTTTGATTGTGGTATTAACATGTTTACACTTGGAGAGCAGCATTTACAGTGGATCTTTCAGTCCAAAACATTGTAGGTATGTTAACGTACGGTAAACTTTAGTAACTTAGAAATCATTTGACTAAGGTCCGTCTTTAAACACTGAAAGAGTACTGCTGACATACAAACTAACTTTGCCATCTGAATAAACAAACAAAGGCCACTGATCACACACTTACCAAATCTGTAGAGACAGGACAATCAACACAAACTAGAGCCGCATCTTTATTAAGAGGAGACGAGCAGCAAATCCGGATCTCACCATTTCCAGATGAGAAAAGCTCTCGGGTAAAAAATGTTCCTTATAAACGTATTACTGTCGAGCGTCGTGTGCACTGTAATCTACACGTGAGTCCAGCTGCGTTCTCATAGAGAGAAAATGAAAACAAAACCTTCACTGCAGCAAATTATAAAAGCAACACTGACTGCTTGCTTTGGCAACATAACGTGTCATCTCTCTGCCGTCTGAACACTGTAACAGGTAAAAACAGTCTTGGAAGCTATCACGCATATTAATGAAGTTGCACCGCATACACAATAGAGCGCGCTGATTGGTTTGAACCAAGTCTTTCTCATGAATGAATGCAACGCACTCAGTGACGTAATAAGGCACTCCTAGGTACAGACGTCCAGTCTGCACGCTGGAATACACGCTAAGATCTCATGGCCGTGACGCAGCTTCAAAAATTCGTTTCAAACCGGAAGTACAAATTTGCTTGAAATAACGCAAAAACAACCAATTTTCACTTTTTAGTAAAATATATGTGTCCTAATAGTGTTTTTAGCAGTGTGGGACACATATACCACTGTCAACAGTTTAAAAAATAAAATGTGTTTTGGTGTTTCGTGACCCTTTAAGATTGTGGCTGATGTCCACATTAATACAGATACATTTATACAGGGGCTTACACAAAGAAATTGGTCCATGGAAGAGGTTAAAGAGATGAAAAATGATAATTCTGTCATCATTTACTACCCTTGTTTTCAAACCTTTATAATTTCTTTCTTATTTTGAACACAAAATAAGATATTTTGAAGAAAGCTGGAAACCTGTAATCACTGACTTCTATAGTAGGAAAAACAGTTACTATGGGAGTCAATGGTTACAGGCCTTCAGCATTTATGCATGCATAAATTTTCCTTCGGCTTAGTCCCTTCATTAATTAGGGGTCGCCACAGTGGAATTAACTGCCAATTTATTCAGCATATGTTTTGAAAAGCAGATGCCCTTTCAGCAAAAACCCAGGACTGGAAAACACCCATACACACTCATTCACACTCCTACACTACGGACAATTTAGCTCACCCAATTCACCTATACCACATGTCTTTAAACTGTGGAGGAAACCGAAGCAACTGGAGGAAACCCACGCAAACACAGAGAGAACATGCAAACTCCACACACAGAAATGCCAACTGACCCAGCTGAGGCTCGAACCAGTAACCTTCTTGCTGTGAGGTGACAGCGCTAACCACTGCGCCACCCTTACATAAATATATAAATTAGCAAATTAACAATAATAATACAGGTGGCGCAGAAGGTAGTGCTGTTGCCTCACAGCAAGAAGGTCGCTGGTTCGAGCCTCAGCTGGGTCAGTTGGCGTTTCTGTGTGGAGTCTGCATATTCTCCCTGCAGTCGCGTGGGTTTCCTCTAGGTGCTACATTTTCCCCCACAGTCCAAAGACATGCGCTACAGGTGAATCGGGTAGGCTAAATTGTCCGTAGTGTATGAGTGTGTGTGTGAATGAGTGTGTGTGGATGTTTCCCAGAGATGGATTGCGGCTGAAAGGGCACTTGCTGCGTTAAAACATGCTGGATAAGTTGGCGGTTCATTCCACTTTGGTGAATGCGGCACAGGTGAATTTGGTAGGCTAAATTGTCCGTAGTGTATGAGTGTGTGTGCGTGAATGAGTGTGTGGATATTTCCCAGAGATGGGTTGCAGCTGGAAGAGCATTCGATGCGAAAAACTAGGAATGGAAATGCGCAACAGTTCTGCTCGCTCTACGCCAATAACGGATGTTACTGCATTGTTCATCTGCAAAGATATTCAGCCTGGTGTCACGGAGAACGAAGGTTTTAAACACCTCCTCCTGTTAATTTTTATTTAATTATATTTTTATTAGCCTGTTGTTTACAGTGACAGTGATGTTTCAAAGCAGCATAACACTGCTAGTTCACCACCTTAAGTTTTGAATATTCAGTGGCAAAATATCTTTGTAAAACTTGTTTTCATAGTTGAAAAGTTATATCACAATTCTTGTTGTGCAATGGTAAACCTTTATGTTGAAATAGTGCAAATATATATATATATATTTAATATATATTGCACTTATACATTCTGTTTATCTTGAAAATACTTAAATAATATGTGCTATATGTTCTAAAATGGCCCTCTACTGTAAACTGACACTCTGGCTCTGAGAGAAGAGCCAGTTTGTAAAAAAAAGTCTTGGTTTTGCTTGGTTAATAAATAATCAAACTCATTCAATAGCACAGCATCCTCTTTCACATAATCTCATAAACTTGATCTAATTAGTTAGTGCTGAATTATCGCATTGTATCAGGATATGGGTGTAAATCGTATTGTGTTGCATCGCAATATGTCACAAATGTATCGCTAATATATCGGATCGTATTCTTTGTATCGAGATGTGTATCGGATCGGCATTATAGCTTAGATGCCCAACCCTAGTAAAAACATGCTGGATAAGTTGGCGGTTCAGTCTGCTGTGGCGACCCCGGATTAACAGGCTAAATTGTCCGTAGTATATGAGTGTGTGTGCGTGAATGAGTGTGTGTGGATATTTCCCAGAGATGGGTTGCAGCTGGAAGAGCATTCGATGCGAAAAACTAGGAATGGAAAGATTAACCGATATGTATCGATATGCGGTCATGCGCGTGAACGATGCGAGTGCATCGGTAGAGCAGCAGAGAATGAATGAAATTTTGGAAGCAAATCGAGATGCATCGGTTTTTGCGAGATGCATCGGTTTTTCCAAGATACAACTTCTATTTTTAATGTAAAATGTATTTTTTATTTATTAACAAGTGTTGTCAACCTGTTTTTAGCGCATAATTTAATCAACCTACATAAAGTATGCCTTAGCAACGGATTTGCGGATGTATACAACTCAGTGTATCAGGTGTGCGGATGAAGCTAGTGGTGCGCCCTCAGAAAGCGCGAGAAGCAAAACAAACATTTTATTCCCCACTGAGTTTTAAATCTAAAGTATGGCAACATTATGGATTTAAGGATGGACGACATGACAGGACAGATGCAATTTGCAAAATGTGCCACGCATCTGTAAAATACACGGGCAGTACGACTAATCTGAAATCTCACTTGAAGCGGCGCCACGGTGTTGTTGTGGAAGCATCTTCCAGTGTTCCTGCATCCCCGCCGTCCTGCTCTGCTTCAACTGTAGCTACCAGCTCCAAAAGTGGTGAGAAAAGCATTGCAAGTTTTTCTCCATGCGCAACAGTTCTGCTCGCTCTACGCCAATAACGGATGTTACTGCATTGTTCATCTGCAAAGATATTCAGCCTGGTGTCACGGAGAACGAAGGTTTTAAACACCTCCTCCTGTTAATTTGTATTTAATTATATTTTTATTAGCCTGTTGTTTACAGTGACAGTGATGTTTCAAAGCAGCATAACACTGCTAGTTCACCACCTTAAGTTTTGAATATTCAGTGGCAAAATATCTTTGTAAAACTTGTTTTCATAGTTGAAAAGTTAAATCACAATTCTTGTTGTGCAATGGTAAACCTTTATGTTGAAATAGTGCAAATATATATATATTTTTAATATATATTGCACTTATACATTCTGTTTATCTTAAATACTTAAATAATATGTGCTATATGTTCTAAAATGGCCCTCTACTGTAAACTGACACTCTGGCTCTGAGAGAAGAGCCAGTTTGTAAAAAAAAGTCTTGGTTTTGCTTGGTTAATAAATAATCAAACTCATTCAATGGCACAGCATCCTCTTTCACATAATCTCATAAACTTGATCTAATAAGTTAGTGCTGCATTATCGCATTGTATCGTGATATGGGTGTAAATCGTATCGTGTTGCATCGCAATATGTCACAAATGTATCGCTAATATATCGGATCGTATTCTTTGTATCGAGATGCGTATCGGATCGGCAATATAGCTTAGATGCCCAACCCTAGTAAAAACATGCTGGATAAGTTGGCGGTTCATTCTGCTGTGGCGACCTCGGATTAAGGGACTAAGCTGAAAAAAAAAATAAATGAATGAATGAATGAACAACATTAATAATAATAATAATAATAATAATAGCAAAAGAGCTCCTTTTGAAAGGAACCCTTGGCTTTGCCGTAGCCCCAGGGCCCAATATGTCCTTAATCTTGCCCTGACAATGCACACAATCACATTACTCTGAAAAAATTAATGAATGCCTATTTTAGAACCAACAGTAGTCCTAATTGAACCAAAGGTTTTGAAATATTTATCTCTGCTGTTTAGAGCCGGAGCACCAGCGAGCTCTTGGGAACCTCAAATATTTTGACTACCAGCTGGCCAAACAGAAGAAGGCAGAGAAGGAGCAGAGCACCAAGGAAGAGAGCAAGAAGGAGCAAGAAACGTCAGATGGGAAGAAGGAATATCTCCCGGAGAAGAGGAAATATGAGAAGCTGTGTAGAGGAGAAGGACTCAAAATGGTGAATAACTGAATGTTGTAACTGAAATGTCAACCATATGTAATATTATGTCAGTGCAGATGTATGAATCTACAATTACTCTTTTTTTTTAGCTCAATCTTTTCTTATATATTTATGAAGTAGTGTTGATCGCATATTAAAAGAAAACTCAGCTTTTTTTGGAAATGGCCTAATTTTACTACTCACCTTAAGTTAAACCTCTGCATTTTATAATTTTTTAATCTATTCAGACAATCTTCGTGTCTGGCAGGAGCACTTTTAGCTTAGCGTAAATAATTGAATCTGATTAGCATCCCACTCTAAAATGAACAAAGAGTTTTGGTAATTACTTAATTAAAACTTGACTCTTTTTGTAGTTACATTATGTACTAAGACTGACAAAAAAAAAAAGTTGAAACTGCTGCAGCTTTGGTACAGCAGCAAAGTTCCTTGATTATTACGCCAGAATAATCTAGCCCTATCGACCTAGAAAATAAAATATTGTTTCCGCCTGTCTTACATAATGAAATTACAGAAGAATCAAGCTTTAAATGGGAAAATTATCAAAACTCTTTTTTTTTTTTATTTCTTGAGAGAGATGCTTATAGTCTAATCCGATTTAATGATTTATGCTAAGCTAAGCTATAAGTGCTCTCGCCAGACCCAGAGATCAACTGAATGGATTTAAAAATGCTAAAACTCAACTGTTTAACTGTTGGAAAAATGAGTTACGATTGTTAAACAGGAATTGAAGAGTTCAGATGCAGAAGCCGCTAAATGCCACTTCCACCAAAAATTATATATGAATGCTTTAGGCACGTACTAGATGTTAAACAAATAGTTTTGCTTCAAATCAACTGAATCGCAACGTCAGAGCGTTCAGAAATAACAATTTTTTTGCAAAGCCCGCTAAACGCCACTTGCCTTTGAGAGCAAAAGCCGATATATCCCGAGAACCAATCAGAAGGCGCTAATCGAATCGTATGTTTTTAAGGTAGCGGTGTGCTGAAACACCGGCTTTTATGAGGGGACTGTTCCGCTTCCGCTTTAGATTTTAAATGATGAAGTTCGATAAGCTGGATGAGCCTGTCCGACTGTCAGTGAATGGCAAATGAAAATGTCCCGTACCTCAAAACTCTGCATTATAAGAAAAAGAAAACACACTGTACAGTCGGAAGTATAACATGCATTCTTAACGTGCTTTTGCGCAGTGACGCTACTTTGAATGAGTCCAATTTACTTTACAGTAAACGGCTACTGTGTTTCATGAAGATAAAGTTAAGATGCCTTTCTTTGATCCCACATGTATGCTTTAAGGATAAACAAGAGACGAAACAGAGATCAAGACCTTGGCTGCGTCTAAAACCTCCTACTACTCAGTAGGTACTGCATTTAAATTTAAACGTGCTACTCGGCAGTTAGAAAAGTACGTTCTATACAGTATGAATGTGAGAAGTATTAATGGAATTCGGACGTACTACATCCGCCATTTTGTCATGGTCACGTCAATTGCATCGCTTCAGTCCCATTCATGAATTCTCTCGCGAGGAAACATGGGATAGCGCCGCGTGCATAGAATGTGCACCTCAGAATCTTGCTGGAAGTAGTAAGTTATCTGGGTATTTCTCGCATACTGATTTTCAAATTTTATGAATTCGGACATACTACTCGACTCGCATACTGATTTTAGTGTACTGTATAGTATGGAAGTATGCGGTTTCGGACGCAGCCCTTGAGTATGGTGAGAATTAATTAATTGAATGACAGCTTCTAAAATTGTCTGAGAGGCATCCTCTTTTGCCCAGTAGGCCTACCTTGTGTTTTATTTGCTAATGTAAGCTATTTTGTAAAATATAAACATAATGGATAAAACGATGCATTATTTATATTACTTACATTTATATTACTTTTATATTACTACACCACATACATACATTACTAAATTAATGGACAATCCACAGATATTTATGTTTCACAATGTTTTACACAACATTGTTTGATTCTAACAAACTTAGTTTACAATGTTTACGTTGCTCCACTTACATTAAATCTAAATCCCAAATATCAGAAATGACAACAGATAGTTAGGATTTAATTAATGTCAATTTTAATGTCATTGATTAACGCACTTGACGGATTTCATTCATTCATTTTTCTTCTGCTTTTTTCCTGGTTTATCACGGCGGAATGAACCACCGCTTACTTGAAAGATTTATGTATTTTTAATTTTAGGTGGTTTGTGTTATGTGTTTTATATTTAGTAAAATAAATCGCCTCTTTAGTGATTTTTCATCTAATTAGACTGTCTTGTCCCAATAGGTGGATTTAGAGGTTTTTGCAAAAAAAATGGATTTAGCTGGTTTTGATGCAAAAGAAAATTTACCTTGTTTACTAGCTAATAACCTTAACATTACCTATAAAATGAAACTTTTTAACCTAAACAGAGGAGCCTGATAGAAAATGCTCATTTACTAGAAAAGTCTGATGGATTTAGAGGGTTTTGCATTTAAACTCTTCAAATGTTTATGCACAACCTCAGTAAAAAATGTAGCCATAACTGTAACGACTGGGGGGAGTGACACTCACAACAGAAGGTAAGATCCAATATGCAGGTTTATTCAATGTCAGGCAAGCAGTGGTCATCAGGTGCAAACGGGTATAGACAGTCCAGAATCATAAACGATAAACAGGCAAAAGGTTGAAAGGCAGGCGGCTAAACTAGAGAACAAGGGTGACAAGGCTAAGGTCTAACACGGAGAAAACAAGACAGGGAACCGCGTTGTAATGTCACAAAGATGCAAACAAGACAAACTGGAAGCGTGAATGAGTGGCTTATGAATGGAGTGATATCAGTCTGTGACAAGTTTCAGCTGGTAATTGCAATCAGGATAGATGAATGAACAGACGTGTGTGTTTGGGAGCAGTGCATGTATGAAAATGTAGTCCTGGGAAATGCGGAAATGTAGTTTTGAGAGTTCGTGTGATAACCAGCGATCTCTGGAAAGCGATTGCTGGTTGTGTGACAATAACACATAATATGTATTTTTGTCTTTTGTAAGAACAATGTAAATAAAATTCAAAAACACGTATTACCTCACCCTTACAGACTCCTCGGAGACAGAAGCATTTGTTCTGCCGTTACTTCAATGGTAACAGACATCCATTTTACACAATTGGGCCAGTGAAACAAGAAGACGAATGGGACCGTCCCCGAATCATCCGTTATCATGAGATAATAACAGAACAAGAAATAGAGAAAATCAAGGAGCTCTCCAAACCAAGGGTGAGTTTAACTTTTACACACATTAACATGTTTATTATTATGTTTATTATTACACTCTATATGGCCAGTTGTGTAAAGAAAGGAATTATAAATACCCAAGTTACCCTTACTGAGTTGGTTTTCTCAGCAGTTTTACTTTATTAAGTAGTTAAAAATGCGTTCTTTTACTTATGAACATTTTTAGTGTTGTGTCTGTACTCGTACTGCACTATTTCCCTGCAATGACTACTTTTTAATGATTATTTTGGTGTTGATGGTGAGCTATCCATAATTGTTCTCTGGTGTTTTTATTGCATTTAACACTCCATTTTCATTGGGCAAAATGCTGGAGTATTGTGGATGCAAGGCATAACCATTTAAATAATACCTGAGGCTTTTTCCACACCTAAACAAAGATCAATGCACATACATGGAGCACCTCAAATATGGTAAAAGGAAAAGCTCAAAGTGCTTGTTTAATATGCAAGAACCAATGAGGCTTGTTCCTGTGTGTTATTAAACTACAGCTTCAAAAATATGGACGTGGTTCATGTGTCCACATGCTTTTTGGCTATGTAGTGTGTACATAGTGTACTGTGGCACAATGCTGCACATTTATATAAGTCACTGTTATACTGAGATCACATGACAATCCGAGAGAACGTACTTTATCTATAAACTCCCTGTTATCAGTTAAATTAATTATAATATGTTTGTGGATAGAGTCATTTTTTAAAAATGATGCTGTCAAAACCATAACATTTGCTTTTGTGTCATTCTTAATCTAGTTACAGTTGAAGTCAGAATTATTAGCCCCCTTTTTAATTATTATTATTTTTTATATTTCCCAAATCATGTTTAACAGGGCAAAGGCATTTTCACAGTATGTCCGATAATATTTTTTCTTCTGGAGAAAGTCTGATTTGTTTTTATTTCGGCTAGAATAAAAGCAGTTATTAATTTTTTAAAGACTATTTTAAGGACAAAATGATTAGCACCTTTAAGCTATATTTTTTTCGATAGTCTACAGAACAAACCATTGTTATACAATAACTTGCCTAATTACCCTAACCTGCCTAGTTAACCTAATTAACATAGTTAAGCCTTTAAATGTCACTTCAAGCTGTATAGAAGTGTCTTGAAAAATATCTACTAAAATATTATTTACTGTCATTATGGCACAGACAAAATAAATCAGTTATTAGAAATGAGTTATTAAATCTATTATGTTTAGAAATGTGTTGAAGAAATCTCTCCGTTAAACAGAAATTAGGGAAAAAATAAATGGGGTCTAATTATTCACGCGGGCTAATAATACTGACTTCAGCTGTACTAAGTGTCAGTATAACGTTAAAGGCAGATGTTACTCACAGCATCTATGAATTCAATCTGGTCTAAAGTGTACATAAAAATATGTGACCAATCTTATGTTGAATTGAATCTTGCAATGCCAAACAATACATTGAAAATTAAAAAAAAAAAAAAAAAAAAAAAAAAAAAATATATATATATATATATATATATATATATATATATATTAAGTAAAAGTCATGTTCTATGAAGAAATTTAGTTAATTTCCTACTGCAAAAATATTGAAACTTTTTTAGATTAGCTATGTGCATAGGAATTTAATTTGGGCAGGTTTAAAGTTCCTGTGAAGAGCTTTAAATTATGCATTTTTATTTAATGTTTGACATAATCACACTATGAGAGGGTTGGGCATAGTGTAGCCCCTCCCCTTTTTTAAACAACAACCAATAGTGTTGTTTTTTTAGTAAGAGTTGTTGAGCTTAAGTGCAACAAAAAAACAAAAACAAATGAGAAGCATCTTGAAATTGGGCAGAGCATGTTAGAAACTAGAGTACATTTAGTACAAAAAATAGTACATATCCAAGGGCTGTTGCGATAATAAATGAACATTAAATTGAGGATGTTTCTGGCCAAAATCTTTTTAATCTTACTTGCTTTTTAACTTGCTGCTAGGAAATGCACTTGCCACTTTATATGCTAAATTGAATGCCTTTCTGGCCCACATTTTATTCACTTTTAAATTTAAAAAGCTGCTGGAGAATGCCACCTTATAAGCACATCATAAGCACTTTTAGTAGTGTATTGTTACTCCTTTTATAATTAATTATTGTTGCCATTTTTTCTTTTTATCTCTTGTTATTGTTGTTGTTTTGGATTAATAGGACTGCACTGAAAGGAAAGCCCAAACGTAAATTTCGTTGTATTTTGTACAATGAAAATAAAGATTCTGATTCTGAGAGCATTTGATTGGTTATGATTTGATGAGAAACTGAAGTATGAGTTAACATGAATAAAATCGTTTGGCTAGAAGTGACAAACTACAAGCTTTACATGTTTATATAAGTTTCATATTTTCTAAATGCAAATTCTGTCACTTTTTTGGCGCACACTAGCTTATAGATGTCCTAAAAACGAGTGATATTGATACCAACAGGGTTTCCAATGTCACTTAAAAGTATTTGAATTTCAGAGACCATTGGATTCAACACCTGGAAAGTACTTAAAAACAAAAACAGGTCTCTGAAAATGCTTGATTTAAATAGAAATTTCAATTTGTTCCTGGTTTTATTTTAACAGTTGTACTCAGTTGACAAAAACAGAACGAAAAAAACTGAGAAATTCTTAAATTATAAATCTTTAATTTAAATATTTTACAACAACACAGACAAATGATGCACATTTTATCAGCATTTCAGAAACCGCAAGTGAATATGACCACTATTGAATTTAGCATGTTTTATGCAAGCTTTTTTGAACATGACATTTAAAAATTTTTTTTTTTTTTTGGAAATGACTCTCTCTAATATGTTTTAATGTAAATGTTAAGTGTAATTGAAATGTTAAGTACAGGAAGGACTTTCATGATGCTATACATACAGTTGAATTCAGAATTATTAACCCCCTCTTTGTATTTGTTTTTCTTTTTTAAATATTTCCCAATTGATGTTAAACAGAGTAAGGACATTGTCACAGTATGTCTGATAATATTTATTCTTCTGGAGAAAGTCTTATTTGTTTTATTTCGACTAGAATAAAAGCAGTTTTTAATTTGTTTTAAAAAACATTTTAAGGTCAAAATTATTAGCCCCTTTAAGCTATATTTTTTCAATAGTCTACAGAACAAACCATCGTTATACAATGACTTGCCTAATAACCCTAACCTGCTCAGTAAACCTAATCAGTTATTAGAAATGAGTTATTAAAACTATTATGTTTAGAAATGTGTTGAAAAAAATCTGCTCGCTGTTAAACAGAAATTAGGGGAAAAAATAAACAAGGGGCTAATAATGCAGGGGGCTAATAATTCTGGTTTCAACTGTATATATACAGTTGAAGTCAGATTTATTAGCCCCCCTGAATTGTTATCACCCCTGTTTATTTTTTCCCGTTTTCTGTTTAACAGAGAGCAGATTACAGGTTACACTAACTTGCATAGTTAAGTTAATTAACCTAGTTAAGCCTTTAAATGTCACTTTAAGCTGTATAGAAGTGTCTTGAAAAATATCTAGTCAAATATTATTTACTGTCATCATGGCAAAGATAAAATAAGTTATTAAAACTATTATGTTTAGAAATGTGTTGAAAAAAATCTTCTCTCTGTCAAACAGAAATTGGGGGAAAAAATTAAACAGGGTGGCTAATAATTCAGGGGGTTTGATAATTCTAACTTCAACTGTATGCTGGGGAATGAATTACAAGGTGTTTGATTTAAAATGAATGGTGCTTTAAAAGGTCATTGAAAGTCCTTGAATCTGCTGTTCACGAAAGCGTGGGAACCCTGATTTAAACTTTATTTTAATTTCATTTCTGATAATCAATTACTGATATTCTCAGTATTTATATATATTTTTTGAACCCTCAGATTCCAGATTTTCAAATAGCTACATTTTGTGCAAATATTAGTCTACACTAATGAGCCGAACACTTATTTATTCAGCTTTCAGAAATTGTATTAATCTCAATGTCAAAAAATTAAAACTTAATGTTTTTGTGGTCCAGGCAGAGTCACATATGGGTTCAGATATCTTCACTTCTTTATATTAGATTATTGTAGAACATAATTTTATTATGTAATCAATATAATTTTTGTAGTTATCAGTGTTTTATTAGGGGCAAAGCAGTGGCACAGTAGGTAGTGCTGTCACCTCACAGCAAGAAGGTCGCTGGGTCACTGGTTCAAGCCTCGGCTCAGTTGGCGTTTCTGTGTGGAGTTTGCATGGTCTCCCTGAGTTTGCGTGGGTTTCCTCCGGGTGCTCCGATTTCCACCATAGTCCAAAGACATGCGGTACAGATGAATTGGCTAGACTAAATTGTCCTTAGTGTATGAGTGTGTGTGGATGTTTCCTAGAGATGGGTTGCGGCTGGAAGGGCATCCGCTGTGTAAAAACTTGCTGGATAAGTTGGCGATTCATTCCACTGTGGCGGCCCTGGATTAATAAAGGGACTAAGCCAACAAGAAAATTAATGAATTAATGAATTAATGTTTTATTAGTAGTAGTTTGTTAGTTTTAAGGATACCTATAAGCTAGTGTTCTCAAAAACAAAGACAAAATTTGCATTTAGAAGATATAAACAGCCAAAGCTTATAGTTTTTCACCTCCGCCCTAATGGATGAATGATTTGTTTGACATCACCTCATACATAGTTTCGTATCAAATCTTCTGACCAATCAAATGCTCTCTAGTATCTGACATACCTTTAAGACGCTTCTCATTTGCTTTTCATTTGATGGGCTTGAGCTCAACCACTCTCACTGGCAGAGCTGTGATAAAAACAAAATGCTATTGGCTGTTTTTTTTTATTAGGAGGAGGGGCTACTTTATGTTCCGCATTTTCTTCATGTCTCAGTAGAGATTTCGTCAAAATGCAAATAAATTTTTTTTTGACTTCAATTAGAGCCTCTGATATTTGGAGTATTGACTAACTTCCCTCAGCCTCTGACCTGTCATTATTCAGGATTATTAGTCCTCATGTAATTAGGACACCCTAGCAAACAGAAAAAGTGTGTTGGTCAGTGGTCACTGCTGTGTAACTTGTGTACTCTTGGCCGGTTGGCTCAACAGCTGCGCCGAGCCACCATCTCCAACCCCATTACTGGTGTCCTAGAGACTGCACACTATCGCATCAGTAAAAGGTAAGGCTCCTGTAGGCCTGTAGCTCTGCTAACCAATCCACCGGTTCTTCCTACTGCATGCTGGGAAAGCAGCTTTAACAAGAGCCCAGACAAAACAGAGCACACGTATATACAGGAATGGTCAAGTGTTATATGTTCACCAAGACTGCATTTGTTTAATGGAAAATACGTTAAAAGTAATATTGTGACGTTTTTTAATAAAAAAAAATAATAATAAAATTTTTTTATATATATTTAAAATATATATATTGTTTTCTGTTTAAATATATACACTACCTGACAAAAGACTTGTCGCCTATCCAGGTTTTAGGAACAGAAGTGGCTTATATGAAAAGTAAAGTCTAGATTACACTTATTTTATCAAAATAAAATGATTATGACTTGATTTTGAATGATTTAATTAGTACAGTAAGCTCTGACTTTGCTTAAACAGAAGTCTTGTCACTTAACAGAAATAATGTACAGTATAGAATATAAAGTTGTGGAGCAGTGGAAAAAGAATGAATATTGTGTATGACTCTCATGAGCTTGGAGAACTGCATACAAACATCTCGGCAATGACTCAAATCACTTATTGTTAGTCAACTGGAATAGCAAAGAAAGCGTTCTTGCAGGACTCCTAGAGTTCATCAAGATTCTTTTGATTCATCTTCAATGCCCCCTCCTTTATCTCACCCCAGACATGCTCAATAATGTTCATGTCTGGTGACTGGCTTGGCCAATCCTGAAGCACCTTGACCTTCTTCAGGAACTTTGATGTGGAGGTTAAAGTATGAGAAGGAGCGCTATCCTGCTGAAGAATGTGCCCTCTCCTGTGGTTTGTAATGTAATGGGCAGCACAAATGTCTTGATACCTCAGGCTGTTGCCATCCACTTTGCAGATCTCTTGCACGCCCCTATACTTAATGTAACCCCAAACCATGATTTTTCCTTCACCAAACTTGACTGATTTCTGTGAGAATCTTGGGTCCATTCAGGTTCTAGTAGGTCTTTTGCAGTATTTGTGATGATTGGGATGCAGTTCAACAGATGATTCATCTGAAAAAATCTACCTTCTGCCACTTTCCAAATGATCAACTAGAAGTCAAGTTAATTTTGTTGCTCTTACTGCGATCAAAGACAAGACTTTTGTCAGGTAGTGTACATAAAAAAAATATCATATATGTGATGCAAAGCTGAAACATTACTCTAGTTGTCAGAGCCACATAATCCTTTAGATATTATTCTAATATGCTGATCTGAAAACAGTTTTTGCTGTTTAATATGTGAAACCAGAATAAATTTATTTAAGATTCTTTCAATAGTAAGGTCAAACGAATGAACATCTCAATCAGCCACTTTTGAGTCCTTGATGAATAAAATTTCTAACTCGTTTTGAACAGTAGTGTATACAAATATTAAGAGGCAAACACAGTTTAAGCATAGATAATAATAATTTGCTTACTGAGAATCAAACGAGCATATTACTATGATTCATGAGGGATCATGTGGAAAATTCTTGTTTGCTTGCACAAGAGTAAACTAACTTTAAAATATATTCAAATAGGAAAACTTCAGATCAGAACAGTGTTTTATAGTATCACTCTTTTTACTGTATTTCTAATCAAATAAATGCAGCCTTGGTGAGAACAAAAATAATTTCTCTAGCATCAAATCATTGTACTGGCCAACAATTTTGCCTAATTTTAACAATGAATAATAAATATTCAGTAACAGATAAAAATATATCCGTTTGTCCCGTTCTTGCGAATGCTGCTTTCCCAGTGTTTCTTTACACACAAGAGATACATAAACACAGTTTGACCCAGGCCATGAAGAAATAAAAACCACCCATGCAGTCCAAGTGCACAGTTGGTGGAGTTCAGCTGAAGTTGGTATCAAGTCCAGAGCTTACAGTAACATCACTTTCACATCTCTTTTTCTATTTCCTCTGTTTGTTTGTTTTTTGCCGGCTCTATAGCTCAGGCGCGCCACCGTTCATGACCCTCAAACTGGCAAACTCACCACCGCCCAGTACAGAGTCTCCAAGAGGTAAGGGGTCAGAGATCAAGGGCAGAGGCCACATCTGTTCCCCCTTCTCCATTTTTACCTAGAATCATATTTATGCACCTCAGTTATCATTTCATCTGTTAAACAATGTGATAGAATTTTGCTCCCCTTATCATGTCATAATGTCATGTTTAGGATGTAAACAATCCAAACACAGTCATAGTTTAATAAAAACAACAACAACTAAATTAAATTCTGTCTAATACTACAAAATATTGAATGCTTGATTCTGATTGGCTGATGAACATTCCAAGGGGCCAATCACTCAGCGTTATTCCTTTCCAATGCTCTACTTTTCTATTGTTTTTGTAAATATGCACTTGATGGATGTTTGTGAGTGTCTTTTGGAGCGTCGAGCAGAATTTTTTTAGACACCGCAACTTTTACATGCAGTGCTGCGTCATCACTGTTAGTTCCAAAGCAGTAGACCAATCAGATGAATTCGAAAGTCCGACAATTGTTGCAAGGTTCTGTTTACAGACAAACCGACACTTTATGCTGTGCTTTTTTTAACTATTTCGGAGCGTTGCGTTTTACATTTTAAGATGCAAAGACATGTTCGGTGTGAATGAACCCTAAGGCTTGCAGTTATTTTCAAATAAACACATGACTAAAGTAGTTCCAGTCAGGTCTTGAACAAATTGCAGTTTCATATCACTACACCAAATGAGTTTGGTTATTTTACAGCCTACAACTAAACAAAGCAAAACAAAACAAATGGCTTTGGTGAAAATACACCACGTCCCAAGGTGTCTCTACATGGTTATGTATAGGGTACTAAGTAATGTAAACTCTTACCAAATGGTGCCACCGGTGTGCATCCCCTTAGAAAACTGTTTACAATTCTAAAAGGCTGTACATGGCACAGAATGATGTATCTGGTGTGGTGTGCAACCTCCTTGAGACACCAGTTTGAAGACAAAAACCTGACAAATTTCTTAAAATACAGCAGTGTCTTTTAGTGTAACCATATCTTTAACCATGGTATAAGTGGAATAATTGACTCCGGTCCATTGAATTATTAGAAAATTATCCACACTTCACATTGTGACCGCATCACCACCTAATTCAACCGTTATTCTTTACATAATTTACTTGCCCTCAAACTGTTACAAACTTGGAATAATGATTAATATACACAATTCATATACAAAAACAACTGCATACATGAAAGCAAGTAAACAGGCGAAACTAATGAATATATTACACTTATGCTATATATAAGCGCAATGACAATTCTATTTTTCTACCCCTATCCCTTCCCCTTGGTCCTTGAAACAGAGTGTGCTTCAAAATACAACTACAACATGCACAACACGTGTACACGTCATCACATGTCATCGACGATCGCGACTGCGAGTGTCATCGCGTGTCAGATGTGAAAGTATGTTGTAAGACTACTATACTGAAGTTATTCTGGATTATAGATAGCAAGATTTAGCGGGTTTTATTTTTGCAGGGTTTTTTAAAACACGAACGTTGTTATGGATGTATTAAAACGTGCCTGTTTGTTGTAAAAATTCGTAATAATGCAAAAAAAAATACTAATTTGTGCATCTACTGATTTTGACTGTGTGCAGCCATGTTGTCGTTGTAGAAGATGTATTCTGGGAAATTGTCGTACCTCATGATTTCGAGTGTGGTCCTTAAAAATTTCTGTTTCAAGGGCAATCTAGCCCTTTTCCTTAGCCCTACGCCTTCAAGCTAAAGAGAATTGGGACACCTTCACGTGAACATGCAAAACGAGGAATAGGGATAAGGGGAAGGGCTAAGGGGTAGAATTGGGATTGGGCCATAGTATATGTAGTAATAGGTTTATATTAATGTGTCAAAATGTAATCATGTTATGACGTTTAAGCTTAATAATCAGAGGATATTCTTTATATGTTCATTTTGCTTGTTTTCTGGCATTATTAGTTGCAAAACAGACACATCTGTTGATTTGTGAAATAGCGTGACTGCAAAAAAAATTAAAAATTAGGTTTTACATGGTTCTCTATAACTTGTTGAGAAAACACTTGACCATTCTTTAACAGCTGAAATGATACTATAGACTACATTGGTGCCACTTATTATAGAGAATTCCACTAGACAGCGTTTAAGTAACCCTAACTACTTTTCATAAGCTTTTCTCATATTAACCAAACAGTACGTTTACATAGACACCAAAAATTATATTATTAAAATAATAATTTTAATATGATTAAGACAATATTCTGATTACGAGTCTACCATGTAAACAGCGATTTTTTTTTTCTGTCTAAAGTCATAATCAAACTAAACAGAAATCGAATTAAGACATGTGGAATATGCATATTTTAGGGTGCTTCCACACCTAGACTTTTCTTTCCGAACCTGTCTCGTTTGCCTAGTCAGCTCGGTTCGTTTGACATATGTGAAACAACCAATCACGCTCTGATCCGCGCCAAAACAATCGCTCCGAGATCGCTTGAATGAGGTGGTCTCAGCTCGATTGAAACAAACTCTGGAGCGGATCGATTGTAGTTAGAAAGCGATACGATCCGAGCCTGGTTATATCACAGTGTTTTATGGATATGTAACAGGTATACGGCTATATGAAGAGAGAATTATGAGCAGGGCGGAAGGTCATTCCAGACATCCCAAGTCTCCCGGAAGTTTCGTTAGTCTCAAGAAAATGCACAGAGACTCCCAGGTGCCCGCAAACAAAGTGATAATCTCCCGAAAATCACGCATCTCCCTCCCGGTCCTCAAATACGTCGCTCATCCTTCTCAACCCTCCCCACCGCATCCGTCCTCGCTCACATCGTGCACACCCTGTCAAACACCACCAAACCACTACCACCCCCCTGACAGCTGACCAATATGAGGAGAGTTTACTCGCACGTGACTTCTTTTAGCTATTTTGGTGCATTTAGAAACTTTGCACCAAGAACAAAGAGCAACATTGTAACAATTTTAATCCCTGTTTCGGAACAACTGAATTGATTTACAGGTGTGAAAGCACCCTTAGTCGCATTATTAAAGTGCAGTACAGACACCCTTATCACACTATTACCGTCATGTAGCCACATTGTGCGACAGGATATTTTATACGCACACGCCTGTTTGAAACTATTTTCTGCACCTACTGAGTCAGTAAAGGACCATACACACAAACCACGAATCGCTGAGTTTTTTAATATTTTTTTATTCTGCGTTCGGTATCAAACTCCATTAAAACACCAGTCCTTACTTTATACTCGCATCCAATACCTTAGTTTATCACTGGGGCATGAATAAAATGTTCCTAAATGAAAGTGAAAGTGCCAAATTGCAGTTAAAGTCAAAAAATTACACATGAAACACCAGAAATTACTTAAAACTTCAAAGGAAACCTTGGATAGCGCAGAATTCCGCACATTTTTTTTTGCAATTTCTGCAGATTTTTAGCCCATCATTAATTCTGTTTATTTACATGAGTAAATTTGTAAATCTGAATTTATTCAGTTTTTATTCAGTAATTTATTACTTTTTATTTCATATATTAAGGTTTTAGTTGACACTCCGCTGGATACTTCCAAAATACTTATGCAGAAATCTGCAGATTTTTACCAAAATTCACCGCTGAAATAGCAAAAAACATCCGCAGATTCCGTCTGGCCCTAGCTACAACATATAAAACGGGATCATGAAAGGAACATTCAAAAAGCAACTCATATAAACACCTTAATCATATTATTGTCTTATTCAGGTTAATGTAAATAATTTGATTCCTCATGTCCATGTAAACATAGTCACTGACTCATTTCTGTTAATAAATCACAGATTCACACAAGTTGAATTTTCAATACCTAATCAATCTAATTTGAAGGATGGTCATGGTTGGCGGTGGTGAGTTTTGCACAAGCAGACACCACTAGTTCTAAAGTCTTGATTACCTGCATATTAACAATACTAAAGCTTCAGTCACATACTAAACACTGCTTTAATGCTGCAGCTTTACACTGGGCAACACATGTGCTGTGTTTCTGCTGTTTTTATGTTTTGTTATTAATTGTCTTCTCTCAGTGCGTGGTTGGCGGCCTATGAGCATCCGGTTGTGGATCGCATCAATCAGCGCATTGAAGACATCACAGGCCTCAATGTCAAAACCGCAGAAGAGTTACAGGTAACTTTCAACTTTTCAAGTCTTTAAAGGGTTAGTTCACACAAAAATGGAAAAATTAAAAGGCATCCTAGGTATTTATATCTTTATAGGAGTTTATTTATATTTTATCAACTGTTGATTGTCTTGTAAGGGGTATTCAAGAGTTCACACTTAGATATTGCTTGACAGCTGTAAGCAGGTTTGGCATGCTGTCCCGGGAGAGAACCCTGAGCTCGGAGATAGTTGAGCCCAGGGCTCCCGCCAGGTCCATAGAGCATGTGAGGGGAGTACGAGATCAGGTGGTTCTCGAGAGCTCCCCTTTTTGTAAAGGAGAAAAGGAGGAGAAAGGGGTGGATGGGGGGTTTCTTCGGAAAACGAAGATAAGGGAGTAATGTCTAGCTAGGCTACTTATAGTGGGTTAGGATAGATCTGATTGGCTAACTAATGAGTGTAGATAGGTGGCCAGCTGCTGTCAATTATATCACGTGCTCCTCTCGAAATTAGTTTAAAAACTTCTCTTAATAGGTCTGGACTTTTAGGTTTGTTTGGTTTATGATGAGTTGAACTAAAATGTGTTGAAGTTAAAGCTTGTTTGCTTTGTTTTTGTTTTTCTCCGTTATTAATATATTGATTTGGTCGATTGAACATTTGATTTTGGTTTATTTGATTAAATCATACATTTGTTGAAGCTTTATTCTTTTCTTTAATGGAATTATTTGAGTAACTGTTGTGACGTTTTCTACCCCTGGCACCCAACCCATTTTATTAGCCAAATACCGCTATAATATGACTTGACTAATATGACCATGTTCTTCTTTCAGTTGAATCAGTCGAAAAGTTATTTTAAGATTTATGTAGGCTTTTTCCAACTCTGTAATGGCAGCTGTATTTTTTTAACAGTCGCAAAGAAGTCCAATAAAGTGCATCTATCCGTAATAATAACGTTCCTCGCATGGCTCCAGGGGTCTGTTCTTCGTACCTCGCTTAAATGATCTAAGATGATTTGGTAGATCCGGGATCTTTTAATCTTGATAACTGATCTCTCGCTAATTTGGTTCTTCAAACAAGTTCGCGAATCAGATTAAAATGTCTGGATGAACTGATCTGAGATCGCTGCGTGTGTTGTAAAGGACAGATCTATCTATCCTCGAAATCATGATCAGCAATGCAGCGATTGGCTGACGGCACAGCAGCGTAATGACACCATCTGATTAATATTCAATTATCCATGTGAGCAAAATTACATCAAATTAGCAGTAAACGCTTTGTTAAATATGACACGCAATAACCTTCCACATTTGTTGTGAGCTGCAGGCTTCACACTTTCGTGTGTCAAGAGTATTCATCATGTATTTCAATGCAAATCAATGTATTTAGTTCTACATTTAGAAAAGATTTTCTTTATAATTGTAGTCGTATTTTAATCGGTGTAAAGAATAACTGGTTGTTTACAAAAGCATTTTCATATTGGTAAAGGTGTCTGCAACTTTTGTGAAGCATCAAATCACTGGCATATTAACTATCAAAACATGTTTATGACTGCAGAAATGTATTGCCTTAAAAAAAAGTCACATATTGTGCATTTCTATTATACACAATTTGTACTAAAGCGATCTAAAAAGTTTATATCAATAAGTTTTCTCTTTGCACCACCAGGTGGTGTCTTTGTACTTTCATTTTGAGGGTGCAGATGGCATACGTTTTATTAATATGTATAACTTTATTTATTTTATTAACGACTATAACTTTATATATATAGTTAAAAAATATTTACCATTTTCCCAAGTGTATATAACTACTGTAAGAAAATATCAGAATTCAGTACTTACTTTCTTTATTATCTATGCTTGAACTGAGCCGATCTAATCCTGTTTATATGAATTGAACCTGCTCCCAATCAGGTTTGACCTAGCAGAACTGTTGCTATGACAACAACTCTCGGATCAGCTTTGAAGAACGAAACGATCCTGGATCATGTCAAATCGTCAATATCCAAATCCAGCTAATTGAGTAATCCACGTACGAAGAACGGACCCCAGGGGATGCCTGATAAGACTGATATACCTATAATAGCAACAGGAAACATTGTAACAATTTTTTGCCCACTTCATATTGCCTAATTTTGTTGGAAAAATGTGTGTTTTGTAACAAATTTCATTCTTTATAAATTGTATGTTCAGTTATCTACAAAATAAACAAAAAGAATGAATACATTTTTAGGTGAAGTGACGTGCAAGTAATACTTTTTGGCCCTAAGGGAATTATGAATTAAATTCAAGTTGATATATTATAATATAAAATATAGTACTTATGACAATTGTCTTTATAATTTGAGTTATGAATTACAGTATCGCAATACTACTTGGTATCGTGATACTTCAGCTGATATAGTATCGTAACTTTGATTAATGATATCAAGACAACCCTAAATGAAAGTCAATGAGGCAAAAACTACCACCAACATAATAAAAGGGTAGTCCATTTGCTCAGGGTGTATTGTTGGATTTTTGCAAATTTTTGCTGGAACACAGAGTAAGCTGTGGCCAAATTGAGACTCAAAATCACCCCAGAGTGGATGAGAACATCCCCAACCGCAAACAAGGGTTAATATGAGACTGACAGTTATGTCGCATTGCAGTTTCTATTACAATTTTTACATTTTCTCTCTTTTAAGGTGGCGAATTATGGTGTTGGAGGACAATATGAGCCCCATTTTGACTTTGGACGGGTAAATATCAAGTTCTTTAATCATCACAATGTATAATCTAATGCACCAAGTTGAATGGATCATTTTAACAAGTGTTTTCCACCAGAAAGATGAACCAGATGCCTTTAAAGAGCTGGGCACAGGGAATCGCATAGCAACCTGGCTCTTCTACGTGAGTACAGTTCCATCACTGTCCTGTCAATATCAGGATCTGCTGCTGCCATCACTTATTATCGATTTCCATGTAAAATATCCGGTGTGTTGCAGATGAGTGATGTAGCAGCAGGGGGAGCCACTGTCTTTCCAGAAGTAGGAGCTGCAGTAAAGCCACTGAAGGTGCTCTTTGTTTGGTTTTTCATTGACAGAAGATGTTTTATACTTTATGTGTGTAGTAAGCGCATTTAATTCACCTAAGAGTTTTAGGAGAGTTGTCTGATATTGCCGAGAAGCATTTTGGTAAACTGCAATATAGGTAATTTCCTCATTTTCATTCATTCATTTTGCTTCGGCTCAGTCCCTATAATCATCAGGGGTCGCCACAGCGGAATGAACCGCCAACTTACCCAGCATATGTTTTACACAGTTTATGCCCTTCCAGCTGCATCCTAGTACAGAGCATAACCCATACACACTCTTTCACACTCATACACTACAGGCAATTTAGCTTATTCAATTCACCTATAGTGCATGTCTTCGGACTATGGGGGAAACCTGAGCACCTGGAGGAAACCCACACCAACAGAGGGAGAACATGCAAACTCCACACAGAAATACCATCTGACCCAGCCGGGACTCGAACCAATGACATTCTTGCTGTGAGGCGACAGTGTTAAACACTGAGCCACCATGCTGCCCGTCTCATTTTCATCTTGCAGTTCAATATATTTGTAATTAGTTGACTGGACATTATTGCATAATATCACAGTTCAATTTTAAATACTTGCATTTTAATACATTTAAGCGTACTAACTTAGGCTCTGATAACACATTATTACTTATTAAATCTGATGATTTAATGTGCCTCTATTATTCAATTTGAAAAGTTCCTAATTTGTTTCGGAGGTCTGCTACAATTACATGTTTTTAAAATCAAAATATGCTTTCATTTTCTCATAATATACTTTCAGCATCACCATCATTCATCGGTTATTAAATAGCTGCATCCCAACTATACACGATGCACTTATACACTCAACAGCATAGTATATGTATGTAGTGTCGTCCCAAATGGACCACTAACGGTTTTTTTTACTAAGCGGAAATTCAAACCGTATCCCTGATGACGTTTGCCGGTTGCAGAATTAGCGGAATAAATGAGCAAACTACCAAATAATACCTGCCATGATTTTAACCACTTTCAATATCAGGAGGTATGAAATAAGTAGGAGAATACTGCTTTTACAATCCAAAATCAATAAAGTAATCCAACATGTGCGCCAGATAGTTCCAAAGCAGTGACCGTTGAGTGCGTGAAGTGTCCAACAGTCCACACATCGTTTTAATGTTTTAATAAGTGCATCATCCGGGTATTTAAAGTGCACTTATTATTTTTAGAGTTTTCAGTGTAAATGCACTATTTAACACTACAAAATAGCATAGAATAGTGCATAAGTATGCGACTCGGTATGGACCTATTGTCTTAAACAATGTATTTAAAGATTCCAAGAGTGTATTTTGCTCTGATTGGTCAGGTGGTCCAGTCTTGTGATTGTTCAAAGAAGCGTGCAAAAGTTGATCTGAAATAAATGTCTTTGAATTTGATATTATTGTTATTTTTAGCAGCTTTTCACATCTGGAAATGGTGAAATCCAGATTTGCCGCTCATCTTCTTTTAATAAAGACGCGGTTCCAGTTGGTGTTGATTGTCCTGTCTCTACAGATTTGCTAAGTGTGTGATCAGTGTGCTTTATGTTTAATTAGATGGCAAAGTTAGTTTGTATCGTCAGCAGAACTCTTTCAGTGTTTAAAGACATACCTTAGTCAAAAGGATTTAGTTACTAAGTTTACAGTGCATTAATGTCACTACAATGTTATGGACTGAAATATCCGCTGTAAATGCTGCTCTCCGTGTAAACATGTAAACACCGCAATCAAACTCTTACTGTCGTGTAGAATTTTTACCGCATTTTGTGACAGGATAGTCTATACACACATGGCTTTCTGATGCTACGTTTAGAGGTTTACACATTCTGTATCAAACATACCATTAAAACTACACTCTCCAGCAGTTCCTCGCATCCAATATCATATTTGTCATGGGGACATGCATCAATTGTTTCTGAACTAAAGTGAAAGTGCCAAACAGCAGTTAAATCAACCCAAGCTCATTCTGGAAACGTAGCCCCGCGTACGTTTCTGTAGACCGCGATTTACGTGGCCGGAGGTACGTACGACTGCGTTTAGTTTTTTTCGAGGGAACGCTGCGAGGCGGTGTGGCGCCGCTCCGCTCCTCTTCTTCGCGCTCACCGGCCGACGGCTCGCCTCTGAGTGAAGGCCTGGAGGAGGAGGAGCTGGCTGCGGGGACAAGCGTGATCGAGTCCGGGGAAGAGCGGTTCCAAAAATCAGGTAAGATGAAAAATAGAATCCAAAAAATAAGGGCGAGAACGCGGCGGGATGCGAAAATGCGGTCAAAATCAGAGACGAGTTTGTTCGGTTGTTCAGCCAGACAGTCGCTCCACAGCGGCCTCCGGCAGCTTTTCGCGCGAGAACAGCGCGGACGCGAACGGCGCGCGCTCCCGAGAGCCGCTAAAGATGCGAAAAAGCGCGCACAGTGGCCTCTCGCGGATCCGCGAAAACAAAAACTGCTCGAATACGTACCTCCCGGTCACTGTCTTTCTCCCCTGCATCTGTGTGTTTGTTTTGCCTCTGTAAAAATCAGCACGTGCCCAAACGGAAACTCACATATTTATGCAAACCTTTCTCTCCCCTGACACTCCCACCTAAAAAGAGCTGGACACACCCACTTTCCTGACTTTTTTCAAACTAGAGGTGTGAAAACACTCTGCTGAGACAGAGGGGGGTTTCATGGCCTTTTAAAAAGTATGTCAAATTTATTTAGATTAAGGCTTTGTTTACACTAATGCGTTTTCGTTTTAAAACACATACGTTTTGCTACGGTTACGCCATCCATCCACACTACGGCGGAGTTCTCATGCGCCGAAAACGGAGCGTTTTGAAAACGCTGGAGGGGCCGTTTTCATTCTTAAACGCTGCTACTCCGTCTCAGTGTGGATGAGGAAAAACGGAGACATCTGAAAACGGAGGTGGGGCTGCTGAGATTCGCTACCTGATTGGGGCTTTTGTGTCATTGCGTATCCTTCCCTTATTCGTCAAGCCCCTATCACATGACTATAACACATGGCTTTAAGGCTACCGGAAGACAGTACTGTAAACAACAACATGGGCACAGAAATGGGAGCGTTGTTTGCACTATTGTCTGTTTTAGGCGCCATTGTGCAGTTATTCATTTGTTACGTTTAGTAACAACTCAACCTCGTCGTCTGTCCACAAAAATACCTCTCTTGCTTTGTCATTGCGTTTAATGTTCATCCGGCGTTTGTTGACCAACAATAATCAAATGCCGAGCGAGACACATGCTTCCTGTTTATACTAGAACGCGCGAATGGTCACGTGATATACGTTTTTGGTGGTGTAGTGTGGACAGAGATCTGTTCAGAGACACTAGGTGAAACACTGGTGTGGACGCGGATCGTTTTTGATCTAAATTGTTGTTTTAAAACTAAAACGCACTATTGTAAACGGGGCCTAAGAAACAAAGCTGCGCACTTTGAAATACATCTAAGTGGCTTTCCATTTTATTAATCAAGTGCAGTGTTTAACGAAACCGACATGAAATGCGGGTTTTTAAGTCACTGATTTTGTTTTGTTTGAGCTCAGCAAGACTCAAGTCCACCATCTTGACCAGCACCGTCCCAGAATAAACTAACACCGACAGATTAATGCTGTTTTGATGTCAGCAGGGGTTAATGTCATGTAATTGTCTTGTTTGTGTCTGTGTTCAGGGCACCGCAGTGTTCTGGTATAATCTGTTTCCCAGTGGAGAAGGAGATTACAGCACGAGACACGCAGCCTGTCCAGTACTGGTGGGAAACAAGTGGGGTGAGGGTCTCAAACTTCCAGCAGACTTTCTTCATGCTCTAACTGTAGCTTGTTTTAGTAATCTAGCCAATGCTAATAATTTTTTTTCTTTCCTTTAGTGTCAAATAAATGGATCCACGAGCGAGGTCAGGAATTCAGGAGACCCTGCGGCCTGAAAGAGACCGACTGACCAACGCTGTCCACCATTTTTCTCATTCACTCCTTCAGACTCTGAAAACACTCCTGCTCTTCATTTCCTCTGTCCACAGCAGCAACACTAATTTTCAGTGAAGAGTGTGTATGTGTGTGCGTTTTGTGACATCAGGACACAAAATTGCATAATGACATGAGTATGACACAGGTATTATACAGAGGAAGTGACTTATGAGACCATGTACCCGTTTTTCAAAAGGCTCATAAATCATACAGAAAGAACCAGAATTATTTTTGTGGAAGTAAAACGTGCACGCTGTTTCCTGTGAGAGAGACTTGGGCTGGGGTAGGGTGATAGATATAGGTTGAAGAGTATAAAAACAGTGGAAAGCTATGAAATGTCCCCACAATTCACAAAAGCAAGCAAGTTTGTGTGTACTTGTATATATGGTTTACGAGCAGGGTGGAAATTACAGGAGTGTTTGGGGGGGATTAACCCCTCCAGTTAACACGTGTAGAATGTCAAAACAAGATGTATGGGGGTTCAGCCCTTTTATAATCTGATCGGTATCTTAAATAATTTTAATAATTAAAATTATATATATATTTATACAACAGTTCTGTCTGGTTCTCAAATATGATTGGCTGATATTCTGCAATATCAGAACTCCTACAGCCTCTTTATCCTTTGTTTATTACTCCGCCCACAACCAGCAAAAAGCAGACACTACTGATCTAAAGTTTTAAAGATGCACGCTCAACTGTTTAATTGTCAGCTTATAATTTGAATCCGGAAGAAAGTAGTTCCTCATACAAAAGGGTTTTTGAGACTTGTTTGATTTTGTTTTTATATACACAATTATGCCGTCAAACTGTTGTATAAACGCAATATCACAATCGTAACAGTGCGATATGGCTGTATATCGGCACTGGTGGGGGCACTAAGGCAGGCAGAACTGATTCGAGAACCAGACAGAACTGTTGTATGTATATATACAGTTGATGTCAGAATAATTAGCCCCCTGCATTATTAGCCCCCTAAATCTTTTTTCCTCAGTTTTTTTTAATGGAGAGATATTTTTTCAACACATTTGTAAACATAATAGTTTTAATAACTCATTTCTAATAACTGATTTATTTTATCTTTGTTATGATAACAGTTAATAATATAATACTAGATATTTTTCAAGACATTTAAAAGATTAATTAGGTTAACTAGGCAGGTTAGGGTAATTAAGCAAGTTATTGTATAATGATGGTTTGTTCTGTAGACTATCGAAAAAATATAGAGCTTAAAGGGGCTAATAATTTAGACCTTAAAATGTTTTATAAAAAATTTAAAACTGCTTTTATTCTAGCCCAAATAAAACAAACAGGACTTTCTTCAGAAGAAAAAAATATTATCAGACATACTGTGAAAATTTCCCTGCTCTGTTAAACATCATTTGGGAAATATTTAAAAAAGAAGAAGAAAAAAAATCAAAGGGGGGCTAATTCGATAGTCTACAGAACAAACAATCGTTATACAATAACTTGCCTAATTACCCTTACCTGCCTAGTTAACCTAATTAATCTAGTTAAGCCTTTAAATGTCACTTTAAGCTGTATAGAAGTGTCTTAAAAACATCTAGTAATATATTATTTACTGTCAACATGGCAAAGATTTAAAAAAATCAATTACTAGAAATGAGTTATTAAAACTATTTTGATTAGAAATGTGCTGAAAAAAATCTCTCCACACATATATATATATATATATATATATATATATATATATATATATATATATAAGCGTAGTTCATACAGATTAATCAGTAACCTCAGAAATAGAGGTTACTGTAGGTCAGAATACACTAAATGTCCCTCAAAACACTGCAAACTTCAATAGTTTTATTAATAAATTAGATGCAACTTAAATGAATACATCGCTTTTATTTCACAGAAGCGTGTATTAAACAAGCTAACATTACCAAAAAAATTTTGACGCAGGTTTCCAGTGAGAGTTGGGTTTAGGTGTACAGCCATATAATAAGCAGTTTACAGTATAAAGTACATAACTCCAATGGAGAGTCCTCGTAAACCATATATACAAGTTTGTGTGTGTGTTTGTGTGTGTGTGTGAGAGAGAGCCATTACCTCTATTAGTGCCTTTTGTCAGTGTTTGCACACCACTCCTTTACAGAAGGCCTTCAGCTCTTGAACACTGCTGTGACGGCAGATGTTCTGACTGACAGATAAACCAAAGTGACTAATGACAGAAAATGCACAGAACATCACCGAATGATCAGAAACAGTTGAATAAAAAATTCTCTGCTTTTACTTGTGCTGCATCCACTCTCTTAATATGAAATCTGGAAATGTTTTTGCCTTTTAGTTTCTAAATATGCTCACAGAAAGTTTTTATAAATTCTAAAATGTGACAATAAAGTGGTATTATTATTATGTTGCTACATATTTAAATCCAATCACAAGTGCTTGTGGACGATTTGGTGATTTAACATTAGTTACTTGGAATTCAAGAGGTCACACTTGGTTATTGCTTGATAATATTAGCAGGTTTTGGCATGCTGTCTTGGGAGAGAACCCTGAGCTTGGAGATAATTAAGCCCAGGGCTCCCGCCTGGTCAATGAGCATGTAAGGGGGCCCAAGATTAGGTAGTTCTCGGGAGCTCCCCCTGGTAAAGAAGGAGATGGAGTGGATGGGGGAATCTTCCAAAAACAACACACCCAGCACGAGACGTCATTTGGTCTTTCCATTTCTCACCTGTTTTCCACGTTGTTTGGACGTCTGACAATGACGTCTTTTTGACAACGTTTTGCTGGTTGGGAAAGATAAGAGAGTAATGCTAGTCGGGCTATTTATAGTGAGTATGGAATGATCCAATTGGTTTAATAATGATTACAGATGAGAGACCAGCCGCGATCGATCATATCACACTACTCGAAATTAGTTTGTGAAACTTGAAGAAGTTTCAACTAAAAAAAAAAAAATGTGATGATTTTATCACACCCATCAAAACCCTTCTTTTAAATTGAGTTCATCCAAAAATGTATATTGTTCAATATTTACTCATCCTCAGCTTGTTTTGAACCAGTTTCCAAAGAATGTCGAAAAAACAGACATGTCCTCATTTTTTCTTCCTACTATAAATGTCAACGGCGGGTGGTCACGTGACCCGGAGCGAGATGGCTGCTTGAGTTCTTCGCTTCGCTCAACTTAGTAAATAAATCACACTTTTTCCTCCGAATTCTTATTTCATTTTGTGTCATATCTGACAAGGATTTTATTATTTTCGCTTCAACGCGTTCGCAAAGGGCCAAAGAAAAGGATATGAAGAAGCCTACCGACCATGTGTCCTCAGCTAATGCTACTGACGCGGCTGAAACTTACCTGGACATGTCGCTGATTTTATCAGAAATGAAGGCTAATGGATCGCGACTTGACAGAATCACTAGTCATCTGGGCCCGGTTTTTCAAAAGTAATCCACTAGGATTTTGGATAAGGGATTGGATCAAATCCTGAAAATGGGTTTTTCAAAAGAAAAAACGGATTACATAATCGGATTAGATCACCTGGATTAAATCCAATCTTGGTTTTGATCCGGATCAAACCTTTAGTTTGGGTTTTTCAGACCTTTTTTGTAGGATCTGGATCACTTTGATCCAAAAAACCTGGATTAAACTGATCTCCTCAGAAGGGTGGATTTAGCGTTGATTTCATGCCCAAAATGGAATGAAAACTTAAAAAAATTATTAAATAAAACTATATTTGGATCATGCAGTACGAGATATACTATTTATTCATAAGGTTTTAATTTTATTTGTTTATCTGTCAGGCTAGAGTGAGTATAGGCTTTAACGTATTTAGCCTTTCAGTATAGGCCTAGAGCAAAATAGAAAGAGTTTGGCCTTATAAAATAATCCCCCAAACAGCTGTCAAAACTGACCAAAAACAATAAATTTTATTGTTACTATATTTATATACAATTGTAAAAAGAGACTGGGCAGAAGTTCAGCTTCATCTGGCAAAGGAACAACTGACTCTGACCAAACTGCAGCAAACCAAGACCACACTTGAGATCTGCCTCCTAAAGAATACACTCAGACAAGCTGCTCTCTCCACATCAGATGAGGAAGTCTGACATTATTGTGGAGGTTTCAACATTGTCTTTTTTTATTCAATACATCTATATTTGAAACATATTATAAATATTCTCAATGTACAGTGTTGTAGATCTCAGATGAGCGGACTGCTGGAAGAGGATGGGGTTGGGTTTTTCTTGCTTTTATTATTTATCATTATTATTATTTTATTATTTATAAAATGTTCTTAGTTTTCATTTCAAATAAAAATAAAGTTATATTGACCCCACACTGGCTATTCTACTTGTTGCTCTTTACATAGGTCTATCTATCCATCTACATTGTGATTGAGCACTGGTAATCCAGATTTAGTGATCCTGAAAAGTTCCTATCCGGATCAGATTGATCCAATCCGATGTTGCTTTGAAAAACTGGCTCAAAAAGTAAGCTGGATTACGTGATCACGGATTGCAAAAACAGGATTACTAAATCCGGATCAATTTTATCCGGATTAAACCTTTTGAAAAACCGGGCACAGAAAGCAACATCAGATTGGATCCATCTAATCCGGATAGGAACTTTTCAGGATCACTAAATCTGGATAACCAGTGCTCAAACAGAATAGGAAATCACAATGTAGAGATATAGAAATGTAAAGAGCAACAAGTAGACTAGCCAGTGTCTATATAACTTTAATTTAATTTGAAATGAAAACACAAACACATTTGAAAAAACTAAATAAAAAAAAACAAGAAAAACCACACCCCATCCTCTTCCAGCAGTCCGCTCATCTGAGAGACCTACAACACAAAACACTGTACATTGAGGATATTTATAGCAAGTTTCAAATATAGATGTATTTAATTAAAAAAGACTTCATGTCAAAAACTCCACAATAATCTCAGACTTTTTCATCTGTTGTGGAGAGAGCAGCTTGTCTGAGCGCAGCATTT